AGGGTAAATGTCCCATCCAGATATTGTCACTGCATAATTACTATATTCAACCTAATGTCTGTATCATAGTGCCAAAAGATCATACAGCAGGCACTCTGTTGGCCAAGGGTGCCTGTTACTTGGGTGAATTTTCTCATAACAGTGATTGCGTTTTAATCAACATGGTAGAACCAGTAATTTAAAACACATAGATTATTTTATTATTAAATGTGATAAAAATTTAAACTATTGAATGACAATAAATTAAATTATAAGATCAAAAAATATTTTAATGTAGAAAAATACATTTTATGGCAAACAATAAAAATATCTCAATAATGGACAAATGAATATCAAAGTATAAAGGAAATAGTTACCCTTATTACTTCCCTAAATTTCTGTAGTTTCCTGTGCTTTAATAATAAGAATATACATGTGTTTAACACAACATAATAAGCATATAAGAAATTAATGGAATCACTGAAGACAAATTTGAAATCAGATATAAATCACAAAGTATTCAAAAAAAATAAAGGATGATGGATAAACTACCAGAAGCTATTTTCTTTGATCATATAATTAAGAAATGCTATCTGCATACTCTTATTATTTTTATAAAATTGCATATATTTTGAAGGGGTATTTCATTTAAAAGTTTTTACTTCACTTTCATAGAGTCATTTAAAAGACTAGACATTTTGATTAACTTAAAATAACTGTATTTTCTTCTGCTATGGCTGCAAGAACAGCTAGCAACATGATGAAATTTAAAAGAGAAAAATGGTCACACATCTGAAGTTCTTCTTATGCATTTTGTTTTTGAATAAAAAAATACCAGAAATTTGCCCTGGCTGGTTTGGCTCAGCAGTTAGAGCATCAGCTTGTGGACCAAAGAATCACGGGTTTGATTCTGGTCAAGGGCATGTACCTCAGTTGCAGTTCCCCACGCCTGGTCAGGGTCATGTGGGAGGCAACCAATTGATGTGTCTCTCTCACATCAATGTTTCTCTCTCTTTCTCTCTCCCTCCCACTATCTGGAGATAAATGAAAAAATATCCTTGGGTGAGGATTAAAAAAAGATACCAGAAATGAAAGATAAAGTGATTTCCTGAAACATATATATTTTATCAAAGCTTTCAGCAATTAGCATTCAATTTCAGATTCTATGAAAGATTTAAGCATCATATTTTGGTATTTTCTTTTCATATAATATTATTTTGTGTGATTCAGAGAAAATTCACTGAAGATGGAAGTTGGGCACTCTTTCAGTATCAGTGTACCTCGCTATCACAGAATACCCAAAGAGAAATTTAAATAATAATAATGGCAATATCTAACATTTATGCAACATTCTCTGAGAACCATGCACTTTCTAAGTATTCCACATGCATTTGCACATTGAATTTTCAAAATTAACCTACGTAACATATGCAAGTATCATTGCCACATTAAGTTGAAGAAACTGAGTTTATAGTGAGATAATTTTCTCAAGGTCCTAGAGACCAAATGAAGGAACTCAAGCCGTCTAATTTCAGACTTCACAACCTAGGATATCAGGCCTGTCACATGGCATAATTGTTGAGAAGGTGCCATCAGGGTCAGAGATCAGGGAAAGAGGAGCCAGCAACAGAGCCAGTGAAATAATAAATTAATAAAGCTAGTCATAAAAGCCAAGAGCAGAAATGACTTCAACTAGTCAAAGGGTAAATGCTGCTGATAGGTTGAGTAAGCTCAGAACACAAATCTGATCATTGGATTGGAGGCATAAAAGACAAAGTTGGCTTTCTTGTTGGAGAAGGACAGAGCCTTAATAAAGCAAATTGATCAGAGAAAACAGTGAGGAAGGCCAGAGCAAAGGGTCAAGGTCTGTAGGCCAATGTGAGGTCATGGGAGAACCAAATGACAGTATTCTCAGGACCTGTTTGTGATTATAGGCCAAACCTGACAAGAGAATATACATACAACATGCAAACAAAACACAGCAAGATGACTAGCCTTGGGTGAATTGAGAACAGCGTGACACATAAATACGTGAATCAGACACACAAAAAAAGGTAAGTTAGTCAAAGAACAATGTTCTCGAGCTATAGACCTCCTGGGAAATAAAGAGAAAAAGCCATGAATCTGATGTGTAATTAAACAGTAAAACCAGCCCTGGCCGGTTTGGCTCAGCGGTTAGAGCATCGGCCTGCGGTCGGAGAGACCGGGGTTCGGTTCCCGCTAAGGGCATGTACCTCGGTTGCAGTTTGTCCCCGGCCCTGGTTGGTCGTGCGGGTGGCAGCCACTCGATGTGTCCCTTTCACATCGATGTTTCTCTCTCTCTCTCTCCCTCCCTCCTGCTCTATCTGAACAAAGAATGAAAAAGTGTCCTCGGGTGAGGATAAAAAAAAAAAAAAAAAAAAAAATAAACAGTAAAACCATTCTAACAGAGAACATTCCACAAAGAAAAGTCACTGAACTACTGCTCAGAGAAGCACAAAGAACACCTGGAACAAGAGTTACTTAGGAAGAAGAAAATACTACCCACAGAGAATGATTTGTAATCTTGTAGAAGTGGCATGTGAAACAAAGTCTAAATGTCTGAGGAGAATAATTTCCTGATAGGCAAATACCAATTAATTTAAGTAGAATGGATACATAAATAAAACATATTGGATAGATGTTCATTGAACCTCTTGACAACAGAGTCTGTGTTTTGTCCATTTTGGCATCTCTGAGACTGAGAATAGTATCTGGCAGCCAGGATGCTCATTTTATTGTTGAATGATAAAGGTAGTAAAATGTTCAATGGAGTGGAGGTGAAGAGAGAACAGAAGGGTCCTGACATTTTCACTTAATGAGGCTAGTTTTATTGGACTAGGGGGAAAAAATGATACAAATAACAGGGAGCAAATGAAAAGCGAGTGGTGGAGATTCTTATCTCCTTCTTACCATGTTTACATAGAAAAGCCTGTTCATTCACAAAAACGGAAAATTATGGGAGAAAAAAAAATTCCAGCTTCTACCTGCCTCCTCCCTCATGATTAGCCATGGGAGGAAAAGCGATATATCTGATCAGTGAATTTGGGTGAAGGAATGAAACATGAGCAGATGAGCAGACCTTTCTCTTTCTTTCCCGATAATTTGAATCCAGGAATAATACATCCATACTACTCTTCTTTCATGTGTAGGTTGTTTTTCCCTGCAGGAAGTCCACCACTGGCCAGTTTGGTGTGACTACACTCAATTTTAGTATAAGATATTAATAAGCCCACTGTGTCCAAAGTTCAAAACCATTTTCCAATTTATCTTTACAAATGATTAGCTGACTTGTAAATTTTCATCTACATTATTTCTACATTTACTTCTCAGTTGGTTTTACACTCAGATGATGTAAGGCACGGTGTGATTAATCAGTGATTAACGATCATTCCTAAAACACCATGAGAGTTCAAATCACAGAATGAAGTGCCTTAATTTTCACCATGAGGGATTTAAGTGATTATAGAAAGGACAAAATGGCATGGACTGCATGCCTCTTTTGAATATTATTTAATGTGCTGAATAAACTGTAATTAAATACACTCCAGGGGAAAAACAGTTGGTTTGCCTTTGCATACACCAAAAAATAAAATTATATTTAGGGTTGTGGCCAGACTGGTCCCTTCATAAAGAAATAAGTGAGAGGAGAAGGGCAAGAAAAAAGATGTACAGAGAGTGCACTTGGAATAAGGTCATTGGAAGGGATCACGTTATTACCAGATGCCTCTAAGAAGATCAGAAGAGAGGTCAGTTGATTTTATCAAATATTCAGGTACCATAAATACAGAAGAAAATATTAAAGTTGAGAAGAGACTGGTCAAATCTACTTCTGTATAGTAAGACACGCTTCAGGAGAACAAAAATGGACATTTACAAGTTAAAGTGTCTTTAGCCAAAGAACAGTGAGCTTGTTGAAAAGCAGAGAAAAAAATAATTTCAAAGAGAATGATGGGTGAAGATAAGCCTGCAATCTTTCCATATAATTATTTAGAACATTATTATTTTTTAAAATTTTTTAATTGATTTTTACAGAGAGAAAGGGAGAGGGAGAGAAAGAGATAGAATCATCGATGAGAGAGAACATCGACTGGCTGCCTCCTGCATGCCCCCCACTGGAGATCGGGCTCACAACCTGGGCATGTGCCCTGACCAGGAATGGAACCAGCAACCTCTTGGTGCATGGGTCGACATTCAACCACTGAGCCACACTGGCCAGGCTAGAACATTATTATTTTCAATTATGAAAAGTAATAAAGCCATAAAATTAGGGCCATATTTTAAAACTATTATTTTCAAAAGCTTTTCCAGACAGATCATTTTCCTAATTTGCCTTTCATATTTCCCAAAAGATGTTGGCAGATTCCTTATAGATCTTGCTCATCTAGGAGAAAGTGGATTTTTATAGGTAGTAACTTTAAATTTTTATTCTTTTCATTTTATTGAGATATAATTGACATATGGCACTGTATAAATTTAAGGTATGCAGCATGACTTGACTTACATATATTGTGAAATGATTACCACAATAAGTTAAATGAACATCCATCACCTCATACAGTTACAAAACAATGATTTATTTTTTCCTTGTGATGAGAAATTTTAGGATCTGCTCTTAGCAACTTTCAAATATTTTAGGTAGTAACTTTTTTTTTTCTTTAGAAAGAGAATTTTATTTGGAATGAAAATATAGAGCCCATCCCAACTACTCCTGAAGGGAGGGAGCAGGGGGCCAGGTAGGAGCGGGGAGGTGGTCCCTCAGAGTATAAGCTTGCCTTGGTACAAAAATCCTCCACAGTAACAATGACTAAAGCCAGGCGGTAGCTCCAGCCTGGGCCCACAGGATAGGCCAGGGTGTGGACTGGCCCCTGAACCTGCCCCAGAGGTCCTCAGCAGGGGGCAAGGGGCAGCCAGCCAGCAGTGTGACCTGACATCAGAGGCTGAGTGAGAAGGGGTAGAGGAGAACGAGGTGAGGGGGGAGTGGCATCTACAGGCCTGTGGTCCTAGGCGTCCCCATTTTCCATGTGGCCCAGCTGCTCCTCCAGGCAGCCAATTCGCTCCCCTTGCTCCTTGACCAACACTCTTAGTGCCCACACCTCTTGCATCACCTCCTCCAGCTTCCCAGCCTCCCCAGCTCCAGCCAGGCTGCTGCCGAGGGCAGCTGTACTGATGGAAGCAGCAGGTGTGGAGGCCCCAGGGTGAGTGAAGCCAGAGGCTGCAGGCCAGTTGTCAGATAACACGTTGCGCTGGCTGACCTTCAGGTCCTTCTGTTTGCTGGGCACATAGGCCTCCCACAGGGAGATGAGGATGGGGTCAGCGTCCTGCCCGCTCACCCACTCCTCTGCCTCCAGGGCCGCCTCAGGCCCTGCTGTGTCGGGGTACAGATGATCCTGGAAGAGGTCCGACTTTCTTGGCATAGTCATGACAATGGGCTCACACTTGCGCTCATGCAGTTTGTAGAACTGGGCGATCTCACACTTGCTGACCTCCAGGCCCCTCTTGGGCATGCTGCCCATGCCCTTCTGGGGCTCTTTGCTAGTGAACGTGTTCAGGAAGTAAATGTAGAGGAGCTCGTGTGTGATTTCAAAGTACTGGATGCTGGAGTCGCCCTTGCCACAGACGTAGACCACACCGGTGTCAGGGTCATAAAAGGGCAGCAGGGCCCCATTGCTTGAATCCAGCTCCTGCAGGGCCATGGGTTCTTTGAGGTTTTCCGGGTCCCAGAGAGCCAGCTGCCGCTCACTCATGCGGCTGATGCCTGTGGTAAACACCTTGCCATCTGCCAGAAAGATGGCCCCCATGGGCCAGGCCCCCTCGTGAGCCTTTTCGCGCTCTGCCACCAAGGTGCCCTGGTGGGGGTCAATGATGCTCACGCTCTTGTCCTTGAGGCCGAGTAGAAGAGGCTGCCGTTGCGGTTCCAACTGACATTGTAGATGAGGTCAGGGTGCAGGCTGTCCAGGTGGTACAGCTCCTCTGCCGTACCCACATCCCAGATGAGCACCACATTGTCACAGCCTGCGCTGAACAGCACATTGTGGGCCGTTGGGTGCCAGGTAACAATGACCACTCGCTTGGTGTGCCCCTCCAACACCACCACTGGCTCCGTCAGCGGGGAGACTATTCGTTCTCTGGGATCTGCCACACCATGACAGTGCAGTCCTCTGAGCCACTGGCAATGACGTCATCAGTGTGGGGAGACCAGTCGATGTCCAGGACAGGTCCCCTGTGTCCACACACCATCAGGTAGGCCTTGTCAATGTGGCCCGTCTTGTTTAGGGGGAGCACCAGGAAGGCACCCCCACCACTGGCCTCCACAATCACCGCCAGAAACTTGGGGTTGACTGTGCCGAAGGTGCTGTCCCAGGTGCCATGGGACACTCGAATGTCCTCATAGCATTGGTCATTCTTGACCGGCTGTCCGAACACATGCCGGAATTTGCTTTGCCGAACCACTTTTCGGAAGGACATGTCGGGGGCGCCGGAGACTTAGGTAGTAACTTTTAATCAATTCCTATTTTCTGATTACAAATTAGTTTACTTCACAACCTGACAAATTTACAAGGCACTAAAATAATGAGAACATATTACAATGGTTCTTTTTTTTTTTTAATCCTCACCCGAGGATATTTTTCTATTTATCTTCAGATAGAGTGGGAGAAAGAGAAACATGGACGTGAGACGGACACATCAACTGTTCGCCTCCTGCATGACCCCAACCAGAACCGCAACCAAAGTACATGCCCCTGACTGGAACTGAACCCGCAAGTCATTGGTCTGCAGGCCAACACTCTAAACCCTGAGCCAAACCGGCCAGGGATACAATGGTTCTTATATACAAGCATTTAATTCTACCTTTCCTTATACACAGACTCATTTTCCTTCATCAGGATAGGTTTCCAACAGAAATCAAGGTTTGAACACTTAATCCCAGGTAAATTTCTACAATGAAACTTAACCAACCATTAAACTTCACATGACTGTAGCAGGATCACACAAAACAATCTTTTTACATCTCAATGAAACTGGATATTCTCAGAGTACTATAAATACAATTTGCTTGCTTATTTAAATATTGCTCCATTTCGATCATAAAATACTTAAGAAATTTATTTAGCCCTGAAAGTTGGCAGTTAAGTGTTACACATTTAACTCTGAGGTTAATCTACTTTAATATCTGCTTCCCGGATTTGCCTATTAATCAGTTTTTGCTATTACTTGAAGAAAGGAAGCTTACAGGGTTTCATTTGTTAATAATTGTATTTCTAAAATTCCTTGAACTATTTTACTAAAGCAAATTTTGGATCCAGGTTGTAATACTATTTCCAAGATAAGTGGTATTGGTTTCCATCTGTCCAATTTTAATTTGAAGAAACAATTCCATAAGTTAAAGAGTAATTGAGAAAGTTGGCAATAGAATATTCTACCTTTTCTATGTAGATATATTCCAATTTTATTTATAAATTTAAGCTCTATGTGATTAATGTGGCAATTATTTGCAATTATAAAATTAAAAGTTGTTCAAACAGATTAAATGAATTAGCAACTATTAAAAATAACATAATTAAAATGTAAGTGTAAGACCCAATGATAATGTCTCCTTTCAAAAAATTTCTTTTAAAAAAGTTTTTATTTATTTATTTATTTTTAGAGAGAGAAATAGAAACATCGATGTGAGAGAGAAATGTCGATTGGCTGCCTCCTGCACTTCTCAATGGGGATCGAGCCCGAAACCAGGCCATGTACCCTGACCAGGAATTGAATTGGGACCTCTCAGCCCATGGGACGACACTCAATCCACTGAGCCACACTGGCCGAGCCTTTCACAAAATTTCTATTACTACTATCTAGCTGATACATAAAATCAAAGTAAGTTACGTGAGATAGCAAACTTTTTTTGGACATAATGGAATATAATCGGTGTATATAAAAGCAAATATTCATTTCATAATTTTTTTCTGCACTTTGAAGAAAAAGAAAGTACTTTTATCTCATCCGATAAAAATGGGAAAATTATTCTGACAATGTTATTTATTTATTTATTTATTAAAGAAATATTTAACATTTCCTGAACTCTACCATGTGCATTATCAAGACTATTTTTTTTACAAGAAACAGCACCTACTGAAAGTCCTTGTCCTAAAATGTCTGTCACCAGGAAATTTGAATTAGTAACCCTATTCCTAGTCCAGTACAATGGAGCTTAGAGAAGATTTCTAGTCTCAGTAGGGGATTTGACCTGTTGAACAGAACATGTTGTGCTCTATCCTAAAGAGTAGAGAAATCTAAAGAGTCTGGAGAGAGATGGGAGCAGGGTGTGAGGGCAAGTGCTTTGTGTCACCAGGCACAGAGAAATACTTCATGTATAATATAATAGGTTCTCAATTAGTACTTTTAGATACATGGATAAATTTTGTAAATCCATATAAATAAAGTATGGCAGAGACCGCTGTCTCCCCAATATTTATTTCCTTCTTTCTTTTTTAAATAGTTGAAGATCCCCAATTGTATCTAGTCCTGTCAAGAGACATTTTCCAGTCTCAATTGCAGCTACACGTGTCCCTATGACTGAGTTGTAACCAAATCAGGATACAATGGAAATGATGTGTGTATCTTCAGGTCATGTCTTTAAAGGGAATCAGTTTGCTTTTCTATGTAGATGCGACTGTACAATTGACCATGTAGATGAGGACAGTGTGGTGGGGCAGGGGGTAGGGGGTGGTGCAGCAATAGGAAAAGAATCTGGGTCCCTGGACAATCTCAAGGGGCATAGGCACTATATTCCCTAGACCACATACAAGTCCAAGTAACACGTGAAAGAGAAATAAGCCCATTTTGTTTGTCACGGTTATTCGGTCACTATTAAAACAGCTAAAGTGCATTCTTAACTAACATGTACAATGACTCTAGCTGGTTTTCTGTTTAAAAAAGTTTTCAGCCCTGCATGTACGGAAGCATGGAAAACCACATGCCTAGTTGGTTATGGTGTAACCATATCTGAGAGGGATTGAATTGGGATGGGGGGCACTAATTTATATTAGTTTAGGAATTCCTTGAATTGTTAAAAAGAACAAGTTTTAGTTGAGTAATAAAAACAACCTTTACTATAAACTATTAGAATCACTTTACCCTTTCTCTCATAACTCCTTCAGTTATATCTCATTTATATTTTTATCATTAAAATAATTAGATCAGAACAGAGTCAATAAAATTGTAATCAAAGTAAAACAAAACATACATGGATGAAGCAAACTAGGGGAGGTATTTTTGTTTTGCAAGGAAATGCATGTTCAATTTGGTGGTAAACTTGCTTATAAATAATATATAAACAAAGATTTTTTCCCCCTTTTGAATTTAATGAAATTCTGCTATAAGAATTTCACTTTCAATGTGGATTAGGCTCTTTTCCATTTAGTTCATTTGGAAGTCAACTGAAAAAGTTTGCATCATTGGGATTTGATTTTGCCAGATCATCTAATTAATTTTGAGAAGTCTTAAGACTAAATGTCAGAGGAATCATGGAGGTCCAAGTCACTATCTAAAATTTAAATCAAGATGGTTTTGTTAATTTGTACTTATTTGTGGTTTCAGTCCTCATTCAATTCACTTTAAGAGAAGTTTGGCAAAAAACTTGAATCCTGAAGCTGAACTTTAAAACAGATCTTCCTTCAATTATTATTAGCATGTATTTGTAGCTAAAAAACAAATACTGCTTGCTGAGCACTATGTAGATTTCAGAAAATGCATCACTTTAGATAAGAGGGGGAGGGGAGAGAGATTGTCTTGCCATTAGGTTAGCACTTTAACTTTTATTTACCTTTTTACTGGTATTATATAAAACATTATGGTATTAAATTTGACTTCCTAGCATGCATCACATACATTTAAAGATAACGACTTCCATGAATATAAATCAATTTACTACTACCAGGGTCACAACATTTTATTACTAAAATGCTTACCTTATTAGGTAAGATAAAATGCCCCAGATCAATATCTTGATATATATTCAAAAGGACAAAATTTATAAGAACAATCCATGGCTTTTTCAAATTGTGTTTTCCTTTGCTGGTGGCATATTATTAATTTCAAGTGAAAAGTTGAATATTTGGCCCTGGCCAGTTTGGCTCAGCGGTTAGAGCGTCGGCCTGCGGTCCGGAGAGACCCGGGTTCGGTTCCCGCTAAGGGTACGTACTTCGGTTGCAGTTTGTCCCCGGCCCTGGTTGGTCGTGGGGGTGGCAGCCACTCGATGTGTCCCTTCACGTCGATGTTTCTCTCTCTCTCTCCTTCCTCTCTCTCCCTCCCACTCTATCTGTACAAAAAATGGAAAAATATCCTCGGGTGAGGATAAAAAAAAAAAAAAAGTTGAATATTTGGAAAATTATATAAATATTTTACATTATTTAGAATCAAAATTAGATGCCAAATGTATAAATAAAAAACTGTAATTTACATGTAATGTATGCCTTATACTTGATTAGAAAAATTGTTTGGCATTACATCTAATTTATGTCAAATTTTCTATTCCTTTAAAAAAAATTTTTTTTCTTCATTGATTTTAGAGAAAGAGGAAGGGAGAGGGAGAGAGAGATAGAAACATCAATGAGAGAGAACATCAATTGGCTGCCTCCTGCATGCCTCCCACTGGGGATCAGGCCCACAACCTGGGCATGTGCCTTGACTGGGAATCAAACCGGTGACCTCTTGATGCATGGGTCGACGCTCAACCACTGAGCCCCACCAGCCGGGCAATTTTTCTATTTCTTTAAATAGGAGTTTTATCCAAGCTTGTGTTTCTAAAATTAAGGTTGCAAAACATGATTCAATCATATTCCTTAAAATCAAAAGGATGTCATAAAGAGAAAGAAAGAAGTTAAAGTAGACTAGAAGTGGAAATTGCAGTTCTTAGAAATTGTCCTCATTTCACTGTTGACAGGATCACAATCTACGTCTTATAAATCTATTAATAATCGTAATTACTGTTATTTGGGGTATGTGACAACGAAGTAAAGACAATAAATGTAAGAACTAAGCATTCATTGAATACTTCTCAAATGATGTATAAGAGAAGTAAATTGAAAATCAGTACTCTGCAACTCAAGCAAACTGTGTATTTATTATTTAAAAATATATTGACTATTGTGGTTCTTTTACCCCCGACAGCTTTATTGCAATTATCTGAATTCCTTTTTAAAACACTGTACAATCAGTCAGTTCTGAGGTAAGACTGTTCAAAAGTAGTTCACCAGTCAGTGTGACTTCTACATTATTCTCTACCTGATTCCTAGAGAGAACTATTTCCTGTTACTTTGACTCTTAGTTTGTATAATCATACTTGCAACATCAGAACATTAACTATGTCATGAAATATAAAACTTCCCTGCTATGCCTTATCTTGTCATTCCCTCTGGTATTTATACATAAATAAACAACTAATATAAACTATGTTAAATATTAAAAAAATTATATTTATAT